CTTATGGGGCCATTTTTACCGGGGCCATTTTTTCCAGGGCCATTTTTTCCGGGGCCATTTTTTCTGGGGCCATTTTTTCCAGGGCCATTCTTACCTACATTCCATCCTACCAGGCACCCATATATACTCATTGGTAGAGAGATAAAGTGACTTTACTAATGTTTTTTTTGTATATATGAACTGATAAACGTACGCACCTAAATTCTATACTTTGGGACTAGACAATTATACTAGCAAAAAATAAGAAACCGGGCACCGTAAAGAAGTTTATGAAATAGTAATAAAACACAGGAAATTGTTACTTCAAGTAACAGCCCCAAACTAAGAAAAGACTCGACAGGATTCAGGTGCATCAATAAAAGTGATTTCCTGATGCAGTTGAGTATACCTTATTTAATATTAATATTTGGCACCTTAATTAAAATACCGGTTTAACTAGTTGAATTTATATCATTTACTATAATAATGAACTTTATTTTAATTGACAAGTTAACATATATTTTGCTATGTTTGTGTATTTCTTTTTTTATTACAGATATTTGCTAAAAATTATCTATTGTTTCAGAGACTAAATCAAATAGAATTATATTGAAAATAATTATTATGATGTAAAGGAGTGTTTAAAAATCAGTGATGCATTTTTGGTATTATTTACAATAATACAATAATAATAAACTGTTATTTTAATTAAAATGTTAACTTAATTTTAGTGTTTTTGTATTTCTTTCCCAAATATTTATTGTGACACAAGGAATGTGTTTAAATACTTATTAAAATGCTTCAGTGATGCATTTTTTGTTTTCAATGTTTAGACATCATCAGTTTACAGTACTGTAGTTGAGTTCTCTAAATGTGTATCTGTTGCTAATTATAAGAAATGAGAGACAATATCAAGAACTTAGGTTTCTATCAATTAAAAGTACCTCTCAGGCTCCAACAGTGGTAACCTAATTTAATTTAATACATTACAGTATTGGTAATTTGGTACTGTAAATAAAATCATTAAATAATTGTCATACTCACCAACTCCTTTCAAATTCGTGAGAAACGATGACAGTTTATCTTCTGAAACAATACCCTCACTTTCAAGAAATGTGATTAGTTTCCATGGATTAGAACAGAAATCATCTGGAACTTTGTACACCCGACCAATATTTTGAACAGCTCTCCTAGAAAGGTCTTTTCCAAGAGCAACAAGATGTTGACGATGTGCTGAAAATCGAGTAATCTTCACTTCAGCTGGATATGTGTTGTACACCCTAACTATCTCCTCCAAATACCTTAATCCAGTTACTTCAATCGTTTCAAATAAAACTGAAATGTCTGTTGCTTTCAAAACGTTAGCAACTCTTAGTATTTGGAATAAATCAAATGCAGATTTAGCTTCCTCCAAGTCTACTTTGAACTCTGCAAGATCTCTGTACAGAACCCTCAACATGTCTACATACTTTTCACCTTCCTCGCTGATTGCATCGGATATTCTGACAAGTAGTTGATTAAAATCTATTTCAAGAAAATAATTATAGTCTCTAAGAGATTAAAATAAATTCCCATAACTCTCTTGATCACAGCTAGTCAGAGACATTCAAAATATCTTTTTATAACATTGATGAATTCTAGAATCTATATTGCTAAAATTTGCAGTAATTTAAAAAAAATTAGCTAGACTTGTTGGGGAAGTATATCTATAGATTAAAACATCCTAGGAATATAGGTTAATAATTTCCCACACGAATAAAATATACGAGCAGCAATGGGCAAAGACAACTTGATTTCTTGCTTCGAACAAGCTATCCATTCGCAGAAGCCTTATGAATATAAGCCTATCCAATAGTGACGTTAAAAAGTCCGGACAAGGACATAAAAATATAAATTTCATAAATCAAATATTATTTATTTAACAAAATTAATATAAAGTATTATTTATTTAATATTATTCATTTAATGAAAATTATTATTGGCCATGTATACATTGTGGAAAGCAAGAAAAATAACAGTTGTTAAAGAATGAAAATAGTAGGTAGGTAAAGAAAAAAATACATTTTAGTAGGTAAAGATTTTGAATATGAGAATACCTCATAGGTAGGTAACAGTCATAATCTTAAGTTGCATGTGATACGTAATATATATATATATACATATATATGTATATATACATACATAACCTATAAACATTTAGGACATGAAAAAGGCCAAATAAAAAATTGTTTGTTTGCCCTCTTCCACCCGCTGCTAACTCACTGAAAAAACATAGGGGCGGAAAAACAAAAAAACAGTTTTTTAAAAGTTTTTTCTTTACAAATTAAAAAAAATGTGAGTGAATTTATCTCTATTTTTTGTCAGATCCCCTAAGTTGTTGTCTGATGTAAGATATTGCCATTCTAGGCCTCTATGTGTTACTTTTATTCCATCTATGAGTATCTTAAAAAAAACCAAAACTTCTTGCACCATCCCCTTTTTTTATCATTTAAATAAACAAGGAGGGCAAACAAACAATTCATTTTTTAGGCCCTAATGATCACTCATGAAAGTGGATACGTAACTGTATCTAGTCAAGGTTCTATAAGGCCTATATAAATTTAAAGAAATAAATATTTGTTGTTTATCTGTTATTATTTTTCTATACTCAATTATCACTTCGATTTTACAGTGGTTGGCATTCTGAAATGGCATATTCTCATTACTGCAGTTCATGATGGTGACTACAGTAAATCTCATTGAATTTAATAATTAAATTGGAAATACATATTGTAAACGACAGTACTAAAGAACTACCTCAATACAAAAGTAGAGCTACTTAATAATGCCATGTCCAAAAGGCATGGATAAATGTGATATTCTATATTTATTACTAACCTGTACATTCCTTTACTTTATTCTCATTCAAACGTTGAAGAAATGAAGACATACTATTTTCGGTTAAAACAGACGTATCTTCAAGATGTTGAATCAGTTTCCATGGACTAGAAAAATTGCCTTCGTACAACTGACAAACCTTCTGGAGATCTTTAACTGAAAAGTCTTTTCCCAGAGCAACAACCTGTTGACGATGTGGTGTAAATCGAGTGATCTTCACTTCATCAGGATATGTCTCATATCTCTTGATTATCTCTTCCAAAAATTTCAATCCGGTTAGTTCAATTGTTTCAAACAAAACTGAAATGTCTGTTGGCTTCAAAATGCCAGTTGCATTTAGCAATTGAAATAAATCAAATGCACAATTAGCCTTCGCCAAATCTGATTTAACATTTGCAAGATCTCTGTACAGAACCCTCAACAGGTCTACATACTTTTCACCTTTCTTGCTGATTGCCTCAGAGAGTTGCACCAACATCGACAAGAAGTCTGTGGGCAAATGATAGCAATACCAGTCGAAAATAACAAGACAGTGTATTGTTAATAATTTATTCTTCAGCATTTGATTATTACATTACAGGTTATCAATTTCTCCCTATAAACACAAACTTGTTCTGTTTAAAAAGGTAAAGGATGAGATATTCTTAAAATAAAATGATTCAAGATTCACGTATACTGAGCAAGATGTATAGAAAAACATTCAGTCTTCTTACTACAAAATTTACTTTAAAATAACTGAAAATCTTTATTATTAATTAGGAATACATCTATCTTGCAAATGGTTGTATTATTTAAGCAGTAATTGGAATACATGTAGAATGCAAATTATTTTGAATGCATGCATGGCTTGGAATGATGCATTTTACTTTTGTTGAACAATTTTGTTTATATTTTTAGTTTCCTGCGGCTTTCACATATCTTTAATGTAGAGGTTGCAGGCTCTGTACGACTGCTACTGTTTTTAGTGTGATGATAATGATGCACTTTATCATCAATTTGTGATGATTTAGTGTGTTTAATTGAAGGCCTATAATATATTGCCAAGAATTATCAATATTTTACCTGAATCCTTCATCTTTCTTGAATGTTCTACTACTTTTCACAGCAATGGACTACACAGCACACTATTACTCCAAATGTTAAGCTTCACAAACTTTCACACTAAAATAGATTTAATAATATAATATTATTATTTCTTTTCATTCCGCATTAATTTTAACTCTGAAATAGGCATGCACAGTGACCTAGATGTAGATCATGGGAAAATTATGTAGAAATGTAAATTTCCAAATAACTGACTTAACATTAAATATTCTAGTCGATGTGAACCTTGTGTTTACAGATACTAGTTTGGTCAAGGTGACCTTTTTTACCACAAATACTGTAAGGCATATTCCCTAGACTTGCACAGAGTACACACTGCGTTCTATGATAATTGTGCAGGTTATTACTTCGTGAGCACTTCTCATCTGCTGATAGTCAGTGGCAGTCTAAGCGGATTGTCATAAAAACTTTCTGTAGTGCACACGTTGTCTATGGGATTGCGTCGGCCAATGACTGTTGGTGTAGTGTGTACCCAAACTTTGGACTATGAAAGGATACCTGGTATCTATACCCAGTAAAACTAAACTAAATCCTGAGCTACTACAGTAAGGCTCATAAGGCTGGAGATTATTCCCAGTTTCTGTAGTGTGAAGCAGATGAAAGTTGTTCTCTAGTACTGTACGTCGCAGGTTAACCACCATTGATACAGCTGGGTGGACTGAAGAATTGTAGTTAAAGTGCCTTGCCCATGGACACAAGTGAATCTGCACAGCGGAGAGTTGAAACCCTGACCTTAAAATCGGAAGCTTACACCTCAACCACTGCACCAAATTGCCACTTATCCAGTACCCATAGTAATTAATGTCAGGCAGAAAATTCACTGAAAAATTTCACTGACATATTCCAGATTATGACACCTTAAATTTCCCATCACTCTTAGTAGGTGAATATGTTCTAAAATATTACTTACCTCTAGGTGACTTAGCTGATAGATTTCATCCCCCCCCCCCAACTCTGCCTCAGTACCCAACCTCCACAAGCCTTGTATGAATTGCGGCATCACATTTTAGCTCACCCTTTAGTTGAATATATATTCCTATAAGATCAATTACAGGATTTCAAATAAAATAAATGTATTATGTAGCAAGAAGTGCATATTATTATATAAAATACCGATCACATAACTGTAGATCCTAGACATTTCATTGGTTAAAAGCCAGCAATAGCTCTAGCCATGCCCTCCTTGCCGCAGTAGCGGCGCCAGGGCAGGGGGAATTTTCCCATATGCCCGTTGGACAGACCTTGATCCCCCTGTTGTCAGATGCAAGACTAGGCTGTTGGATAAAAAATGTTAAAAATAATAATCTGTCTATCTAAATACCGTACTCGCGCGAATAAGCGCCCCGTTTGAAAAATCGCCCCTCCTAACGTGAAATTTTCCTTAAGCACCCTGTTTGAATAACCGCCCCCTCATAAGATTTTCTTTTTAGCAAGTCAATAATCCAATCAATCCTGGGACTGTGGTTGTTGGCATGATTTGAGCTGTAGAGTGGAAACACATTCTTCTTCAGTCAATATCAAAATAAGTATATTTTTCTTGGAGAGATGAGAGCTCCGATCCCTGGACAGACAGTATATTTCCAACTTTAATCTTTTTACACATTTGTCTATGTCTAGTCCTACTCCTCTTTTTATTTTTTCAACCTTAAGCACATTTCAAGAAAAATATAATGATCCTGCCATCCTGCTAATCTTAAACAAGCTAACCACTACCCAGTATTAATTGCATCTGCTATTTTGTTATTATGTAAATATTCACGCATTCTTGTTATGATGAGCCAAGTTCTCTGGACGATTATCTTTTCTAACCACCAATCGTTACGTCCTTATTATAATCTTTTTTTCATTCAAAGAGTGCCTCTTGAATTTTTAATTATTAAAATAATTTCCCATAAGAACCCCTCGATGTTCATCTATTTCCATAAGCGCCCCCTCAATTTTCACTCTGTTTTCATAAGCGCCCCATTTAAATAAACACCCCGTTTGAATAAGCGCCCCTCAGAAAGTGTAAAAAATATTTTAAGCGCCCGGGCACTTATTCGCGCGAGTATGGTAACGTTATTTTGATTGCCAACCTCCAATATTGTTGTCGAAAAGAACATTTTTGTCCATCATAAACTATATGAACTCTCCCCATGAACCCTAAGAGGGAAAAGTTGTCGGCACCTGGGCTCGGAGCCCTCCGTCTTGTGTGTCAAGACAGTGTCCTTGTCGGCAAATCTCTGGCGTCACTGCTGCCTAGCCGGTCAATAAACATTGGGCTTTTCCCTCTGCTTCCAATTCACTTGTACATAGCCTCGAGGGGACAAGATGAAAAAAAATATCTATAAAGCTGGATATTCATACACTTACACAAATCATTGCTCTCTTCACATTTTTATTCTTCTTTTATATTTGATGTTTATTTTTTAAATCGTATTGTACTAGGTTCTGCTGTTCACATTTTAATGTGGAAATTGTGTTTAATTACTAAAAGTAGTACAAAGTTTTACTGGTATGATTGCAACTGTTAATACAGCTACTCTGATGATAGTATACACAGTTCATTGTAGAAAATGTCATAAATTACTGTTGTACCTGAAATTGTTTTTTACCAATCAAATGATTAAAATCTATGGATAGTGGTATATAAAACATACATTTTTAGGTAATTTTAATCAGGTCATAGTTTAAATATAGCCCTTGGTGATATGGAGGCTAACCTGTGTTATGACATGACCATCTCTATTCACCACAGAACACCTTAATAAATTTTGAAACGATAATTTTTAATAATTCAAATTTAAGTGGTGAATAATGTTGGTTATGTCACAATACAGGGTAGCTACAAGATGGCCTAGGCCCGAGGTTGAATAGTGCTATAATGGCACACACACTTTCAAAATCGGCTTTCTATTTTTCAGTTAAGTTTTGACAGACTAAACAATTTGACAATTTTTTTTATTCATCAATACGTAGACATATCCTTGGCAAATATTTTAAAGAAAAAATTATGTTGATATGACCCTCTGTTCAGAAGTTATGATTTTCTAATTAATGTGACCTCCAAAAATATGGCCGAAACGCTATGTTATGTCTGTTGGTTTACGCTTCGCTGCTTAGCATTGTTCGTCATCAATTGACTGAACATGTCTACTGCAGCGTGAAAAATGCTTATTAACTGTAATCCATTTTTAGCTTTTGGTTTTTCCGAATCAATCACACCATAACTATTTATAGCATTTGGTTTTTGCGAATAGGCCTAAGCCTTACCTAACTATAAGGTGAAACGTCTTTAATGTTCAAACTCAATGGTGTTTGATATGTATGTGTTTGACCCACTGAAATCTGAAATGACCAAAACATACTTTGGTAAATGTGTCCCTCACCCTTTACTGCATATGTTCCATTCTGTAATTAATTGCACTTCACTGATGATTATTCCCCCACAACCAGCTCAAATTTGTGACAAAAAAAAAAGGGGGAAAAAAAAAAATATATATAGACCTACTATTTCAGGATCCGTGAGCTATTTTTTTTGGTTACAATAAGAAAATTAGAAGTCGGGAAAGCTCTTTCCCCGCACAATGTAGGAGCCAAAATTTTCTCAGGCAAGA